TCAACGAAAGGAGACTGCGACCACACTAAAGGCCACACCATCTTGGTCTTCATATCTTCGATTAAAATTGATTAGGTCTACTTTCGCATTCAATAATTTGCAATTTTGCTAATATATTCTGGTTTACTACACATTCCTCTCATTTGCCTGCCATGTTGCTATACTAATCTATATAATCTTGAGGAGAAAGCCTTCTTTTAGTACGCGAGTATTCAATTAAATAAAGCCCACTTCCCCTTTGTAGATGTTCATTTGGCACGTTCAGCTGGCACAATATTAAGTTGAGGTTGAGGGAGAAAATAATAAATTATTACCCACAATTTTAAAAAATGAAACCGTCCCACGTTTTTTTATTTGCTTCTTAATCATCCTTGGTGTTCCTTTTTAACAAAGTTGTTGATCAGGATTGGTGTCATTTATCACCTGTTTCTTTCGCACATTCCCCACCTACTCACTCCCAAGCTTCTGGTGCCATTTTCAATCTTGATCATCTTCGGCCTTCGTCATCCACCGAAAACTGCTGCTTCTGCAGCATATGGCGGAGTTTCGACTACAATCATGGTCCCTCGGCACGTCTCACTTCTTCTCTAATTCCTCCTTCATTACTAAATCGAAATTATTGCTATCCAGCACACTCTATTTCACATTCTACTGCTACCGACCATCTTTTCAAGCCACAGCATCATCAAGCAGACTACTTACAGCAGCAGAATCAAGAACAGCTGCAACGCAATCCATTTCAGCCGGGCCGCTCAAATAGCCCGAGATTTATAAACCTCCACTCTCCTCCCCCTACTATGTCTATCAATCATCCAGTTTTCGTTTCTTCACCCTCTCCGTCATCGCCTACATGGCTTACGTCTTCGATTGCCAGCACAGCTTCAGAAGTACCTTTAGGCAGTACTAGCGACTCCTTTCGGTTCCCGGCCACTTCACAAGCTTGTCAAACTGATCAACCCTGTATCCGTCACTTGCCTTCACTACCTGCACCGTTGATCTCGCTTGCATCTAATTTACATTGTCACTCACTTACAAGCACCATGAATCCACTTCATGTGTGCAGTATGCATGGCCAGCTGGTGGCGAATTGTTGTGCCCTCTTGGCTACACTCTGTCCGGCCAGATCATCAGAGCCGTCTGAACTAAGAGTAAGATACGAATTTCTTTACATTTATTTGTCTCAGCCAAGAAGACTGACTGGCTCTTTCTACTTTATATCTATATATATATATAGATATACTCATTAGAGAAAAACATGTTAGATATAGATGGATACAGAAAGGTTTGGTTGATTTTCTTATACTCGAGTATTTCTGTGCGTGTGTGTGTTTGTGTGTTAACGTCAGTACGCAAAATCGGCCATAACTCAGAGTAATTAGAAAAAAGCCTAGCGTCAGCCGCTGGTCATTTAGGCTTACTGGTTCAGGGAAAAAAGCATAACCGAGATTGCATAAACCTGTAACTAACTTAGGTTTAATTGATAAGATCTAAGTCTGTACGCGTGAAAGTCGGGCTACGAAATCACCAGTCAGAACCCTTTGCTTTGGAGTCATTAAGATTTAATCACTCAAAGAAAATCGTACGTCTTTTGTTGCTGATGAGCTTAACATGCCTGTTAAACCATCAACTATTTGTCAAGTTTAGTCTGCTTCTTTTATATAGGGGTTCCGCACTCTTTCCCTTCAAGCTTTTGATCAAGCATAGTTAATCCTTACTTAACTTTCGAACACCATTTCTCACATAAAACGTATTCCCTACTCTATTTATTTCACCAGCCTCTCTTATCTTGCATTTCGCATCAGGCAAACCTCTGCCTCTAAGAACATTGTATATTGTGTTTAATCTCCGCCCTGTGTGAGCCACTTCTTATTTTTTGATCTAGTTGATTTGACAACTATTCTTCTGTTCCACTAATCTTCGACGGAATTGCCAAAAGATCTCACCAACATAAGTTCGACCGCAGAGGCACACAATCTAATAACTGCCGGATCTTGATATTGAATGATATTTCTCGTAAAGAGAAGGCATAACCGAAAAAAATTTCAGAGTTTCTTTGGAAACCTCACTTTTTATACCTCACTTCCTCACTAGTTTAGTCGTATTCCAAAAAAGCATGAAGACAAGATTATGATATGAGAAAGGGTCTCAGCTTGCCTATCTCTGAACATATAGTCTCCGTCGGAAAATGTATTCCTTACTCAAGACATTATTAACAATTCGA